AGTACCGAAGGACGGTGAAGGACGCGGTGTGCTACCTCAGGTTCAGCGTGATGGTGGCTCGCATGCAGATGCAAGGAAGATGGTATTTCGCGATAGAGGCCCCTACTCCGGCAAAGTCCTGGAGCTGTGCATCGGTCGTGGGCTTGTGTGCTGTACCTGGCGTGCAGCGAGTCTCCGTTAGTGGATGTCAAGTCGGCCTCAAGGACCCGGTGTCCCAGAAGCCGATGTCGAAGGAGTGGTGTGTTTGCAACGAATGCGGACATGACCAAGTGGAGCCTGAAAGATCTTCGATGTCTGGGTGGCCATGAGCATCAGTGGTGTTGGGACAGCTCGCGAGGTATCAAGAAAAGCATTTTCTCTCAAAAGTATCCAGATGAGCTGTGCCGACGACTTGCGTCGGCCATGGTCTGCCAAGTGAAGCTGGACATCGTTGGCTCTGCACCGGAGATTCTGGCGACCTCAGAGGACGAGGTCATCAAGCGCCTCAAGCTCACGCTGGAGACGTCGCTGAGGAGGCTCCACGCGAACCTCGACCACCCGAGCAACGAGGATCTGGGGCGGATCCTGAAGCACGCCAAGGCGAGCGAGATGGTGCAAACGATGGCGCGGAAATTCTTATGTTCCGTGTGCGAGGGTCGGCGACTTCCCAAGTCCGTACGGCCAATGATGGCGGTATTGAGGCTAGCGGTGACGTCAATGAGATGCCCGGCTGGTCGGAAGACACGAAGGTGAAGGCGCTCAAAGTGGTCTGTCCGAGCAGCGGCCTGCAACAGATGGCCCTCTTTCTTCGAGGCCGAGATGCTGAAGGAACTGTTCGAGTCCAAGTGGCGCGAGCCCTACGGCGCCCCGAAGTACCTCCAGTGCCACGCCGGCCAGACGAATCTGGGCCAGGACATCCTCGGCTCCTTCGAGAGGATGTGCATCGAGGTGACGGATGCCGCAGGTGAAGCTAATGAGCAGGTTGGTCGCGTCGAACGCCATGGGGCCTGGTTCTCAAAAAGGTGATGGACCAGATGGTTCCCCAGACCAAGGACGAAAGGCTGTCGTGTGTGCGGGCCGTGGCCCTCGCGAAGAACTCCCTGGTCACGTGTCCATGGGTTCTCGCCGTATCAGATCGCGCTGGGCAGGACCCCGGAAGTCTTCACGGACACGGTGCAGGAGAAGCCAGACATTGTGGCGAGCTACGCGGTGCTTCACGACGAGCTGTTCGCCGTCATGGAGAGATGCAGGCAGAGTGCGCGGCTTGCCTTACTCGAGTACATGGGCAATCGCGCGGCCAGGGTGGCCCCGGACAGCCGTCCCAAAGTGGTCCAAGACCGAGATACAACATGGCGGCGTGGCCGGGGCATTCTGGGCAAATGAACTCATGCAGAATGGCGTGGGTCGGCCGTGATCCTGGGCCAGGTCAAAGGCAACTATGGGGTCGCGATGCCGGGCGTGGTCATCAGGGCATCTCCTGAGCAGCTGCGACACGCCACACAAGAGAACTTGCCGCCGAGGTGGTCCAGCCGGAGCTGCGTGGCATGGCCAGAGAGTTCATGGACGGCCAGGGTCCTCAAAGGGGCTTCATGGGCATCACGGCGGATGAGCGAGCCCCAGGAGCGGCGGCGGCTGGCAGATCAGAGATGACTCCAGAGCTTGGGGCGTCAGATTCGACGACGCCAACTGCTCCCGAGTCTGCTCAGTCGGAGGCCGAGGAGGCGGAGGCGTCTCAAGTTCCAGAGGGCGACATCGACGTGCCCGAGCACGAGGAGGACGAGGAGGAGGAGGAGGAGGAGGCAGAGAGCGACGAGCCCGAGGTGTACAAACGCATCGTCGGGAAAAGATCGGTACATCCGATAGCCGCCCGTGCTCAGAAGATGCTGAAGCCCGATGCCGCGAACCAATCACCAGCAAGTCCTGCGAAAGAACCGCGCCTGGAAGAGGACTGCTACAGCGTGCTGATGGCGAGTGTGACCACCGACACTGTGGAGGACGAGCAGGAGCTGCGTGTGCTGCACGTCAACCAAGACAACGATGTGATGCTGGAGGATGCTATGCTGGCGGCCGGCAGGAGGGAGCTCAACCGCAAGGACCTGAGGTGGACGAGCTCGGAGGTTACATGGATCCTGACTGATGCAGCTCGTGCGGGAGTACAAGACGTCGTCCCCGACGTTGTCTCAGAACGGGAAGGTCATGGCCTACCAGTTGCTGGCGTCCCACGGCTTCCAGGTCCAGATCGGCGACGAGGAGGGGGCTTTCCTCGAGGGGGACCCCATCAAGCGTGACAGCAGCGACATGTTCTTGAAGCAACCTCGTGGTTGCCTTCCTGGTCTACACCCCATTCAGCTGCTCAGGGCCATCCGGCCGATATACGGTTTCAACGACGCCCTGGCTCAATGGCGGGGAACAATTCGGACGACGGTGCGGGACTGGAAACCCAAAGACGAGGGCGAAAGCAAACGCCAATTCAAATTGGACCCGTGAATGTTTTCCTGTTCGAGGGCCGTATGCTTCTCGGCCTCATCTCGACTCACGTCGGCGACATACTGGCTGGTGGAAAAAGGGAAAAACGCCTTTCTCTGATATCTCAGGTCTAAGTTTCTGTTCCCAAAGTGGAAGACTGGCGGAGGACAATTCAGTGAGAGACTGCGCGAGTGGGGAAACCAGGAGTTGGAGGACTACGATATTGAGCGGATGAAGTCCGTCAACATGGTGACCACGGAGTTTCGGGCGCCCCGGAAATACTTCCTCCCGTCCGTCGATGAAGAGATGCACTTAGAGAATGAGGCGGAGGCTGAGCCGTCCGCTGCTGCGGCCGCTGCCTCCCCCCGCCGTGTCAAGCCTTCTAGCGGCGTCAGCTATCTTTCCTTTCGAAGCCGCCGGGCGGCCATGCCACTTTCGTGACCAGGAGGCCCTGTCGGGCCCCCCCCTGGCATGGCAGTGATCTTAGTGTGCGTCACGTGCGTGTTGTGTCTGCAGCATTTTGCCTTGCCTATGGAAAAGGGAAAGAGGGAGCGGGCGCCGCCCTCTAGCGGAGCCCAATGCGCAATATGATACACATCCAGGGTGCAATGACGCGCTGTTTGGGGCCGACCCTGCAAACATATGGCCCGAACTGCCTTAGTACTTGTCGTATGGTGAAGAGGTGCACCGTTGTCACTTGATGCAGTCAGGTGTGACTGTGGTGCCTCCCGCCGCCATCGCTGAATCATCCTCGCCCTCGGCGGCTTCATCGCTGGCTGAGTCGCTGGGCAGCACGCGTTCCGCATGCATGACACCCCGCTGTTGTTCCTTAACATCTGAGTCGGTGCCTTGGACGTGCTGTGGCATTGGAGCTGTGGTTGCCTTGCCGCTCGATCATGGACAGCCGCAGCGGCCGCCCTGTTCTTGTCCCTGTATCCCCCTACTGCCTTGTTTTGAGGTTCGGGCTCAGCATTGTCGCCTTTCTTTTCATCAGCGGCCCTCTTTCTGCAATTGTCCCTGTGGTTCCCGTGCTTGTTGCAGCAGCGGCGCGCTCGGTCTCCGCATGTTGGCGTCGCGCGTGGCGGGGTTGGGGGACCTTGCTGCCGTCGGGGGGCTTGCCTTGTCCCTCGCCCTCTCCCCTGACTCTTTATTCTTTTCCGCACGCCGATGTCCATCGGGTCGTTCTGATCTCTGTTCGGTCTGCCGTCAAGGATGTCGCCGCCTCGCTCGTTAGCAATCCGAAGGTGTTGAGACGACTGCTGCTGCGGAGCACGTGCTTCTGAATTTCGGTGTAGTCCTGGAGCGCCTTTCATGGATACCCGCCGCGGAATCAGGTCTGGCAACTGCTCGCCCGACATATCTTTGTACCTTGCGATGTCCTCGTTCACTTGGCCGGCCGAAGAATCCACGTGTGCCGCCAGGGCCCGGGCGAAGTACAACCGAGTGGTCAGATCCTCCTCGTCCGCCGTCAGGTGCACGCTAGCTACGTTATGTGGGCGCCGTCGCCGATATTCTCCAGAAGGGGTGCGCACCTCCGATCCTGTGCGGTGATACGTATACGCCTTGTGTTTGAAACTGAGCGTCATCCAACTATGCCTTTCTCCATCAAACGGCTTCATCTTGTGAAGGATGTTGGGGCCCAGCAGCTCGCTGTTGTTCTGGACTGCCTGTCGACCGCCCTGAGCTTGCATTCGACCTCGCATCTCCGCCATCGTGTAGCTGCTGGATATTCGCCGTCAGTCGCTGCACGAGCTCCGTCAGATGCCTTATATGCTCCTCCTTTTGCGCTTCTGTCGAGACGGCATAGGTCATTCTGCACCTGACGTCGCACAGTTTGTTGGTCGCCGCTGGTGAATCCTACAAACTTCCCTTCTCCGCCACCGAGCTTCCTTGAGACACTGCCACGACCCTGCCTGAATTTCGCTGTCTCGGGCGTTCGACGCCCGCGCTTGTTGGCCTTCTTCGGCCTCGCCTGCCACTTGGCCGTCGGCTCGAGCCGTTTCGGCGCCGTGTTTCCTCTCGGGTGCAGGGTCTTGGCTGCCCGACATGCACGGCTCAGAGCACCCGCTGCCGCGGCCCGAAAGGGGCGTGGAATTCGCTCGCAAGGCGCGAGCTCGACCGCATACCTGCAGTAACCTGCCCTACCATGCTCGCGTTATCCAGCGCCCCTGGGCCGAAAGGAGGAGATGAACATCGCGCATTTCATCGAAGCACACCCAGCTGCAGGTCTCCGGCTTCGCTCTCGAATACTCAACACCTGTTGTCGATGACTACGTGACCCGTGTCAAACTACTACAAGATTCCCAACTTCTTCGTACCATTCCTCTTCAGCCTGTCCTTCCGCTCCGTCCTCGTCCTGCTCCTTCACTCCTCTCCTTCTGATGCTGCCGCAATTTCAAAGCTTCCCCCACGCAATTCCAAAATGGTCTGGCTACCCCAGAATCTCCGAGCCGCCCGTGCGGCCCCTCATCGTCCTCGCCCTCTTCCCGCTCCAACTCCTGCGTCTCCTGCCCCTGCCTCTCCTCTGCCCCCGCTCCCTGGGCATCCCGGGCGACCTTGTCGTCGCGAGGCTGGCTGACGTACGAGATGTGTTTCACGCCCTGCCGCAGCATGGACCCATAGACGTCCCACTTCGTGCCTCTTCTCAGCACCTCGGCGCGGGGAGCGGCACTGCCACAGATATCTCCAACGGTCGCGAGTCCGGGGGCACGATGGAGGGATCCCGGGGGGGGGGGGGGGGAAGGCAGGGAGAGAGGGAGGAGGGAGGAGAGAGGGAACGACGGGAAGGGGAAAGAGGAAGGATAGGGGACAGAGAGAGGTGGGGAGGAGGGGAGGGGGGATGCCAGAGGGAGGTTGTACCCTTGACGCACGTGCAGAAACACACATTCTGGAGGCCGTCGGCGTCTTCGGTCTCAGGACGGGCGTTGTGAGCCACCTCGGGTCCTGTGATAATGAAACATCTGCCGCGCACTCTGGAGGAGCGAATTTACAGACCCTGGCTTGGTCGATCATTTTTCAGCCCTGAGTGCAATGACTCGCTGACGTGCTCAGAGTTTCGGAACGCACACACTGTTCTATTCGCATGTTGCTGCTTTCTACTTGATTGAAGGATTGATCGATCGGGTCAGTGCTGCACCCTCAGACCCCCAGCCAGCTCCAAAGAGGCGCTGCACTTCTTGCGCGGCTGTGGCAGCAAGAGCGAAGGCGTGCGGCTGCCCACGTGGCCGACCGCGCTCACCTCCGCGCCCATGGTCTGTCTCGGGATCCCTGCGACGCTCTGTGGCTGGCCTGCACTGGCGCACGGGTGGTCCCTCGTTGTATGCGCGGCGCTGACTAATAACCGGCCACATCGTGCAAGCGGCCGGCCACGGCGTCGTTGGCTTGACGACGTGCAATTCTGCATAGGGCCGACTTGTTCGATCGGGTGTAGCGTAAAAATAACGAAACGCTCAGAGAATTTCAATATCTGGCGACCCTCGTTTCTGCAATCCGTGCCCTACATTGAAGAAGCCGTGGGCATCCAGGAGATCTAGGAACGTATCAGTATCACGGACTCTGGTTCTCCTAAATGAAGCCCAAGTCGCGGTCAATCTTTTCAGCGGCACGTTGACCGCTGCAGGAGCGTGCCCATTGGGTTCCAGCTGTACTGGTGGTCAAATACTTGTTCGCGATGCTTCAGGTACGATGACGGGATGGGCCGAAGGCCATTAAACACAACGGCCACCTATCGGTTGTCCCACAAGTTTGCGCTCGGCCGCCGAGCATTGAAAGCAGGGACTGCTACTGGTTGAGCCCTCAGTTGGGCGTTCCGCGGCCGAACCTGCATGTCCATCGCCTGTGGAACCGACGTCCTGGGATCCTGGCGGGCGGTGGATATAGATTTTGTTTGGCCCCAAGGGGCCTGACCCGAATCTGTCCAAATCCACCGCCTGCCGAGGTCCCCGAAGATTGATCCCTCAGGCGGTGGTTACGTATAACATCCCGCCTCGCAGAAACAACCACAACAACCGCCACTCAGTCCAGTCATGTTTACCGTGCGAGAAACTATTGAGCATGTTGGCCACAAGTTGGCTCTGGCCTGGACGCCCTCCGCCGGAAGCGGAGGAGCGGCGAGGGGCAGGAGCCGAGCCAAGAGCGGCGGAGGCTCTGGGCCCCAATCAGAGACACGGGGTGGGCCCGAAAAGTATGATTTTGCTCCGAGCGACCCCCACCCAAGAACGCGAGGCGGGATACCCGGGGAGCACTGGCATACTGTGGGCCTGGCGGCAGAGCTATGCAGTGTCGCTCTTCGTCAGAAGCACGAGAAGGGATACCCAGGGGGGCAGCGGCACACTTTGGGCCTGGCAGCCGCGGTATGCAGGGTGTGCGAGGCGAGTCGGGAGCTCTTCTCTGTGACTCTGGCAGCCGCCCCAAAGTGTCGGGTGGGGACAATCAAAAACTACCAGCACGACGTACCCACCACAGGTGGGAGTCCGGCGAGGAGATGAAGGCGAGGAGGTTGAGTGAGAAAACACATCAGGGCTACGGCTGAAAACACCTGATAGAGCCACGACCCCGACCTTAGAGCACAGGTGGGCATGACTTGCCAGACAGAAACTGCCTCTTGATGTCTTGATTTGACGACGGGGCAAACGTCCGACGAAGAAATCTGTGTCAATCATGATGTCTTTCACACGTTGCTCCTGGGAGCCTTTTGAAGTGTCTTGGAGGCTCGTGTGTTCTGTGGGGGGCCTCTTGAGGTTCCCCTCGCCTCGCGGGATGCGCGTCCAGAACGCGCATGCCTGTGCGCGTTGTGGGGCTTGAACTTTCAAGAACAGGACTTGGCGGGGCTCCTCCAGGATGTGGAGGACGCATGGAGAAGACGAGGAACGAAGGAGCTGGCAGGCGAGAGGATGGAGGAGGGGAGCGGCAGGAGCGAGGAGGGGGCACACAGGCAGGTTGGCAGGAGAGCAGGTGAAGAGCTTCGTAATGGCATTCGGGTCACTCTTTGGAAGACTTCGTGGAGATGGTGACTGCGTCGTTTTGGCTGACCCAAAAGGGGGTCCAGCTGAAAAGGGGTGGTGAAGTAGATGTTGGCAAATGGATTGCAAACGTATTGCGCCGGAGAAATCTGTTGCACTGTGTTGCATCTAATGTCTTGCAGTCGAGAATCGAGCAATACATTTGCACACCGGAATGCATTGCACGCCCCAAATCTATTGTAACCCCACTGATCTATTGCACCACCCTCTCTTCGCTGGACCCCATTCTGGGTCGACCAGAGTCGCGGGGCCCGTACGCTTAGCGTGTGCGTTGCTGGGCCCTCTGGGGGCGTGAGGAAAGCCTCCGGGATCTGATGGGGGCACATGGGGGAGGGCCCCTGCGCCTCCTGGAGAATCTCTTCGGCTGTGTTGGGGCTCTTGTGGACATGGGGGCGATATCTGAAATTTTCTTCTGGGGCCTGCTGTCAGATATGAGGTTTCCGTGAAGCTGTGAGGGGCGGCTTGGGCTCTCTCTGGCTATCGTGGTATCCTCTCGGGCCTTGTTGGTGTCGTGTTGCGGGCTCTTCGGGCTCTCTTCGAGCCCTGAGGAGGGGCCGTCGGGTGTCACGTCGGCCGAACCAAATTCGCGCTACAGCTGAAGACGTAAGAACAAACCAATGCTTCGTAAACAGCGAAATTCAATCAACAAGACGTATCGAACTACTAATTCGGAATAACATTTGAATCGCAACTCAGTTGCAGTAGGAATGCAACACGACATCACAATCGACGCGCAATCGAAGTACATATCAAACTGCAAGCCACACTGCGATCGAAATGCAACTCACAATTCGAATACAACTGCAACCGATATGCACACCGAAATCAAACTTACGAACACCCACCGAGCCCCTTCGTCACAAGACGGGTTGTCAATCATGGTGCGAATCTGACTTTTCACTGGTTGGTTTGGGGCCGCGCCATCCGCTTATTGGTTTTAATATCTGAACTGCGCGTTTACCCCAGGGACTTTTACTTGAGGCGAAAGGAATTGAGCTGGGATGCGGAGCTTGCCCGTCACCGACATAGGATTCCACACGCTCACACACTTACTGACACGCACACACAGACACACACGCATGGGGTCCCGCTGACCTGGCATGCGGAATTCTGGCTGTCGCCGCCATCGGACTCTGACCACATGTGGCTCCGCACGCATGTGGTTCCGCGCGCACGATGTTCCACGTACTCCCCACGCGCTGGAATCATTCGAGCGTAAATTAATGGGGGGCGATAAATGGAGGGCAGCGAGGGCTGCCGAAAAGGGGCCCTCTCGGACCCCAAAGGGGGCCTTCAGGGCCCGAGAACTGCACTTCCACCCCCCATGTATCGCCTCCCCCCCTCGTTACGCGGCCTCCACATTCCACGCACTCCCCACGCGCTGGAATCATGCTTGCCTGACGGTTTCCAGATGGCTCACCATGCGGACCCCGATGGATGTTCATCGGGTCCCCCTTCCAATCGCAAGGGATGCGGCCTGGAAGCTTGTGGTGCAGCTCGCCCCGACTTTCGTTCACCGGGCCTTCTCCACAAGGGTATTGGTCTACGCGACGCGTGTCGAGATTCACTGGTGAGGTTTTACCATACGAGCAGTGTTGGAATTCTAAGCGTCAAATACACGTGGTGAAGTTGGCCAATCTGTTATGATGGTGGTTATTTGCGCAGATGCTGCTCGTATGAATGGTTGGGCTCTTCTATAATATACCTTCGTGAGGATTGTGTGTTCACTGGCTCTCGTATTGCATGCGCGCTGGAAACGTTTCATGTTTCATGAACTGCCTGAAATATGAACAAGTGGCTTGTCTGCAGATGCGCAAATGTGTTCCCTCGCAACCACCCACTTATCGATTGAGCCGCAATGTGTTTGGCGCACTACTTGGAACACCACCCGCCCCTGTCATGGTATCATTCACCTACCTGGGATCGCGCTGGGGGGTAGTACGGACAGCATTGGCTTCATCTACGTCCATTGACCCTCCATTTGGCATTGCACATTGCACACTATGACTTTCAATCCGACGTGCGATTGCAATGATGTGTCACTATAGCACGCTGGCTTCATTCCCACGGGGTTGCCAGAAGGCCAAAGCATACCAAGCATCTCCCGGATGCTCGAGACTCACTGGTGAGCCTTTAGGGCTGCCCAGGTGCAACTCGGGCGGGAAGATCTAGATAGATCGTATGCTCAAACGTAGCCGCTCCCCTCCTCAGAGATGTCTCCAAATTGCATCTGGTTGAGCAGCGCAATCTGACAGCATCATTCATACGCAGTGGTCAGCATGTCTGAGTCTCGGCGATGGTAGGACATGAGTAAGGCCTCAGAAGGCAGTCTTCGACGATAGCGAGGGTGGCGCCCTGGAAAGCTCTGGGTGAGGCGCGACCGATGGGACGGGACTCAACGCCCATCACGCACAAATTGCTGTTCTGCGCACCCTGGCTCCTCCGCAGAATATATCGGTTGAGCCGCCGTCTATGCCTGGAACCATCGCGCGAGCTTCGCGCGCGCCATAGGAGGGAGCCCTCGAGACTCTCGAGAGAGGGGGATCACTATCTGGCCGCCACCATCGCGGTGCAGGCGACGCCAGCGCCGCCGCCGCCGGGGCCGGCGCCGGCGCCGCAGCCGTCGTCGTCGTCGTCGTCGTCGTCGTCGTCGTCGTCGTCGTCGACGTCGTCGTCTCGTCGTCTCGTCATCGTCGTGTTTGGACGTGCGTTGTACGTCTGGGACGTGGTAGGCACTTCTGGGGCCTTCTGTGGCTTCCAGAAGCGTCCGAAAGCTCGCAGAAACTTTCTCTGGAGACCTCCCAAGATCTTTGGAGGCCCCCGGGGGTCGTCGTCGTCGTCCCATCGTCGTCGTCGTCGTGGTCGTCGTCGTGGTCGTCGTCGTCTTCGTCGTCGTCGTCGTGGTCGTCGTCGTCATTGTGGCTGGCGTAGTCGTTACACCTTTGAAAGGCCGTCCTGGGTCGTTGTCGGTGTCGTTGTCGTCAGGATGGTCGTGGTCGTGGCCGTCGTCGTCGTCGAAGCGCGCCGCCGTTGCCGTCGGCGTCGTCGTCGTCGTGGTCGTCGTCATTGTGGTTGGCGTAGTCATAGTCGTCAAACCTTTGAAGGCCGTCGGGGGTCGTTGTCGGCGTCGTTGTCGTCGGGATGGTCGTGGTCGTGGTCGTGGTCGTCGTCGAATCGCGTCTCCGTCGTCGTCGTCGTGCTCGCCGTGGATAGACGGGTGTAGATTTTTAGCCGTGGTTGGCTCTCCTGTTGCCTTTTTAGCAGCTTGCGAGGACCATCGGATACATGTGGAGCCCGGCGCGAGGAGGCCACCAAAGGCCCCAGAAACTATTTTTGTTACCCAGGGGGCCTAGGCGCTCACATCGGGTTGCCCAGGCCGCTTGAAATGTCGGTGCTGTGGTTTCTGTTTGGCCCCTCTTGGAGATTTTGGGGGCCTACCGAGTTCTCTTGGGGCGCCTCTTAAATGTATTAGGGCCCTCTTGAGACGCCTCGTGGGATCTTTTGGGAGGGCTGTAGGGGCAGATGGGAGGCTTGTATGGAGGGCCCTGGGGATCCTCGTGGACAGTCTTGAGAGCGTCTTGGGAGGCCCTCGGGCCTCTTGGAGGCCCATTGGTTCCAAAATTAAGGGGCAGGACTAGAGATGTCTGTACTGGGGTTGCTGTTTGGCTCCTCTTGGGGGTTTCTTGGGGGCCTCTGAAGCCATAGGGAGCTCCACCACCGGCGCCAGTGCCAACGCCCGCAAGGCGGCAACACACCATTCGGCACACCCCTCACACGGTTTTTGGCCCCATATGGGCTTCCCCGTCCTTCGTGCCACCTGTCTTGCGGCACGCACGCCTGCACATGGTTGGGTCCGTCGCCAAGATGATGGGGGGTATGCTCTGCCAGTCGGCGCGCACGTCAGTTCTGCGAGACAGATGCTACGTCAAGTACACAACAGCGGAGCGCCGACGCGACAAATGCTCGCCAAACGCCAAACAACGCGCCAAACGCACGCTGATCCGGAATACATGAACCGAGCGAGGGTGCCAGCTACGCCCCAATGGCGTGTCAACAAGAAGGTAACGGATTCATTAAGGCGATCACTTAATTGTATGGTGTGCACATGTGTGTGCACATACATCTATATGTACATGCATATGTTTATAACTGTATATATTTGTATTTATGTATATATATATGCATATATGCATGGATCAATATACATATATATATATATATATATAACAACGTACTGCTTGGGGTCAGCGCAGGCGATCACATGAGTGTGTAAATATCGTGTTTATAATGTTTATAGTGTATATAATGTGTATATATCAGTGTATACAACCATACATACATACATACATACATACATACATACATACATGCATGCATGCATACATACATACATACATATATACATACCAAGTTACCACGCCCTGATCGCGTGCTCTGAATTCCCCAGGGGGCGCGTGGGGCACGTGCAGATACATGAGATTCGCGCGCCCGAAGCCATAACCCCTTGTAAATTGCACAATGTTCGCGTCCTCAAGGCCACACACCTCCGTACATTACACCGTATTAGCGTCCTCGAAGCCATAAGCCGCCGCACAGGACACCGCATTCGCATTCCCGAGGCAAAGAGTGCTCCAATGCGCCCGAAGATGGCTCCAAGACTGCCCAAGAGGGCTCCAAGAGGCTCCAAGAGCGCTCCAAGCCTCCCGAGAGAGCCCCAATATACCCAAATCGCTGATTTTCCCACCAAGAAATTATGCTGAATTTTGGCCTTCTCGCATTTTATGGCTTTCCGACGCTCCAAGACGGTTCAAGAAGCTCCCAAGACCGCCCTAGGACAGCCTAAGAAGCCTCCAAGAGGGCCCCAAGACGGCCCGGAAGGGCTCCGAGATGGCCCAAGAAGCGCTTAAGACGGCCCAGGAGGGCCCCCAGACGGCACCAAGAGGGGCCCAAGCAGGGGACCACGAACCGAAAATGTCATATTTGTGGCTCGAGAAGCCCCCAGGAAGCCCCAACGCCACCAAGAGGCCCCAAGAGGCTCCAAGCGGCGCCCAAGACGCGCCGAAGAGGCTTCCAAGAGGCCCAAAAAGATACCCCACGAGGCTCCGAGAGGCCCCCAAGAAACGACCAAACCGCCTCCAAGAAGCATCCGAGAGGCTCCTCACGACACCCCAACACATACACAAGAGGTCTCAGACCCACAACCCAAGCACGGTGGCGGGATAAGCCGAAGGCCACTAGGATCCGCCGCCCCCTTTTGCTTTAGCAAAGGGGTGCCTGGCGTGCTGGACCCTCTCGGTTTTGGTTTTGGCTCTTTTTCCCAAAGAACTCTCCCTGGGGCTCTGGCGCGTCCCGCCGAGGTCCCGGGATGTTTTCCAAGGACCTCAATTCCCTACTTTTCTGCCCAAGACGGCTCCAAGATGGCCTCCAAGATGGCCCAAGATGGCCTCCAAGATGGCCCAAGACGGCCTCCAAGTCCGCCCAAGATGGTCCAAGACGGCCTCCAAGACGGCCCAAGAGAGTCCAAGACGGCCCAAGACGGGCCAAGAGGCCCCCCAGAGGCCTCCCAGACGGCCCAAGAGGCCTCCAAGAGGTCCTGCTTGGGAGCGTTTTGGACCATCCTTTCGGATTCTGGCGGCTCCTGGGAGGCGTCTCGGGCCCTCCGGGAGCGCTGTGGAGGCCCCCCGGAACGCCCAGGGGAGCGGTACCGGGAGCGTTCCCGAGATGTCACGGGGAGGTGTGGCACCCGGGGCCGGGGGGGGCTCTATTTGGGTGCCTCTTGGGGCGTCTTCGGGGCCTCTTTTGGTGTTTCTTCGGGTCTTATGGGGGCCTCTTGAGGCTTCTGGGCCCCTTCTTGGCCTCTTGGGGTCTTCTGGGGGTCTCTTGGGCCAAAAGGCCAGAATTTCCGGTTCCTCGTCCCCGTCTTGGGCGCCGCCTTGGGGCGTTCTTGGGCGTCTTGGGCGCCTCGTGGGCCGTCTTGGCCCACTCGTGGGCCGTCTTGCGTACTAGTAGTAGTAGTAGTAGTAGTAGTAGTAGTAGTAGTAGTAGTAGTAGTAGTAGTAGTAGTAGTAGTAGTAGTAGTAGTAGTAGTAGTAGTAGTGTAGTAGTAGTAGTAGTAGTAGTAGTAGTAGTAGTAGTAGTAGTAGTAGTAGTAGTAGTAGTAGTAGTAGTAGTAGTAGTAGTAGTAGTAGTAGTAGTAGTAGTAGTAGTAGTAGTAGTAGTAGTTAGTAGTTAGTAGTTAGTAGTTAGTAGTTAGTAGTTAGTACGTAGTAGTCGTAGTAGTAATAGTAGTAGTAGTAGTAGTAGTCGTAGTAGTAGTAGAAGTTGCAGTAGTGGTAGTAGTAGCTAGTTAGTAAGTTAGTTAGTTAGTTAGTTAGTTAGTAGTTCGTTCGTAGTCGTTCGTAGTCTTTCGTAGTAGTAGTAGTAGTAGTAGTAGTAGTAGTAGTAGTAGTAGTAGTAGTAGTAGTAGTAGTAGTAGTAGTAGTAGTAGTACAGTAGTAGTAGTAGTAGTAGTAGTAGTAGTAGTAGTAGTAGTAGTAGTAGTAGTAGTAGTAGTAGTCGTAGTAGTCGTAGTAGTAGTAGTAGTCGTAGTAGTAGTAGTAGTAGTAGTAGTAGTAGTAGTAGTAGTAGTAGTAGTAATAGTAGTAGTCGTAGTAGTCGTAGTAGTTCGTAGTAGTAGTAGTAGTAGTAGTAGTAGTAGTAGTAGTAGTAGTAATAGTAGTAGTAGTAGTAGTAGTAGTAGTAGTAGTAGTCGTAGTAGTAGTAGTAGTAGTACTAGTACTAGTATAGTAGTAGTCGTAGTCGTAGTCGTAACGTAGTCGTAGTCGTAGTCGTAGTCGTAGTAGTAGTTAGTAGTAGTCGTAGTCGTAGTCGTAGTCGTAGTCGTAGTAGAAGTAATAGTAGTAGTAGTAGTAGTAGTAGTAGTAGTAGTAGTCGTAGTAGTAGTAGTAGTAGTAGTAGTAGTAGTAGTAGTAGTAGTAGTAGTAGTAGTAATAGTCGTAGTCGTAGTAGCAATATTTGTAGTAGTAGTAGTAGTAGTAGTAGTAGTAGTAGTAGTAGTAGTAGTAGTAGTAGTAGTAGTAGTAGTAGCAAGAGTAGTTGTACACATATAACGGGGGACAGGGTCCAGGGGCCGGGGGCCGCGACCACGACTGCAAATGTGGGGCCAGGGCGTCGTTTTCCTTATGTTTTTACAAGGTTTCGGCGACCTGGGGCTAACAGGGCCCCGCGAGGCTGCAGGGATCCTCCCCCCTCCCGCTCCTCTCCCCTTCCCCCACCCCCTCCGTGGCGAGGTCGCCCTTCCTGAGGGGGGAGGCGCCTGCGGCTGCCTCCGTGACGTCCCCCGCGCCAGCTGCAAGGAGAAACAATTGCCGGCGAAAAGGTACGCCCCAGCTGCCTCCGGAGGGGGCTGTCGCCAGCTGGGGCACTGTGCTGCCTTGTCGTCGTCGTCCTCCTCCTCCGCCTCCACCGTGCCAGGCTGTCATATTGAGCCGGACGCTCTCTTTCGCGAGCCCAGCGCTGCTGAATCCTGCGTGCGCCGCTGTTCGCAAGCGTGGCCCGCCCTCCGATGCCCCACCTTCGAAGTCGGGCCCCATCTCCAAAACGACCCCCCAGACCTTTCCTGGAACGACTTTCGACCACTACTGCGAAGTGAATCCAGCTATCGCGGCGGGGGCCGTGGCAGAGAACCGAAAAGGCGACAAACCTTACCTCCTCCTCCTCCTCCGCTTCCTCCTCCTGTTCCTGCCCCCTCCTCACGCCTCAATTTGTTTCTCCCGCCTCGTCCTCGTCATTCCCCTCTCTGGCCCTCGTCCTCGTCGCCCTGCGCGAGACACGGAATGAAGGCGGCCCAGACCCAGCTCTCGCCTCAGCGCCGCGCAGAGTCTTAAAAAAAAAAAAACAAAATCTTACAGCAACTTCAAGGATGGAGGGGCGCGCTCTCAGAATATAGCTCTGGCCTGAGCGCCGCGCAGATTCTTCTTAAAAGTTCGCAGCAACTTCAGGGGTGGACGGCGTATCCTTTTCAAGATCTAGCTCTCGCCTTAGCGCCGCACAGCTTCAGGGATGGACGGCGGGCCGTTCTCAACACAAAACCCTCGCTATGTATCCGCGCGCACTCGACTTTAAATATGGCAGCCATTTCGATGATGGAGGGCGGCTCTTCTTCAGCATGGGGCCCTCGCCTTAGCGCCGCGCGCATTCCCCTTGTAAGCGTTCCCAGCAGTTGCAAGACTGGTGGGTGACTCCTTTTCAAGGTGAGGTGTTCGCATTCATCTGTTTAACCGCCAAAGCTAGAAGTGCAAAACAATGCAACGATTGTATGGATGAAGGGCAACCCTTTTTCAAAAACTGGGTCGTCGCCAGATGATTTTTTCCATGAAGGCCTGGATATTGAACATGATATGGTACATCAGCACGGAAAGTGGGTAGCTCCTTGCCAAAATGAGGCGCTCGCTCGGGACTCCTCGATGCGCATGACCAGAAGTGTCATCTTGCGCAAATCTTACAATCATGGCGGCGGCCTTGTTTTTAACGGGGACTCCGCTGAACACTTCGCTGAACCGTATCAGCGTACCTCTGCCGTTTCCTTTGTGCTCTCTGGAATGATGCCAGGCAGCCAGGTTATGGTCGAAGCGGGGTTCTCGCCTGAATGGCAGGCCCACAGGGCACTGATCATTCAAGAGGGCGCTTCCTGCGGGGAAAGGCAAGGCTTGTGGGGACCTACGAGGAGGGTACTTGGGACGGGAGGGTGTGCTTCACCATCGTTGCATGTTGGGTTCAATCCTGTCCTCCTTCTCCTCCTCCACCTCCTCGGCCTCGTCCTCTTTCGGACCCACCCCCCGCGTGGCGGGCCGCGGCGACCAGCAGCGCGCGGGCGAGCCGCCGGCCCGCCTGCGCACCGGGGGCGGGGCAACAGCCGCGGCAGCGTGCAGGCACGGCGGGGGACAAACGGACCGGCTGGGAGACATCCTCCCCTGACCCCCCCCGACGACGACGATAACCCTTTCTTGGTGCAAGCCAACTGGCGCCACCTCGCCACCAATGAGGGGGGAACGACCTGGATGGCAAGGAAGCCCACCCACGCGGCAAGCGGCAACCCCTGGGTCGCAGGAGGAGCACGAGCCCCCGCAACTCTAGGGCGACAGCCGTAGGCGGAACACGAGACTCCGAGACTGCACAAGCCTGAGCGCTACCCCTGGGGCGCAGGAAGAACGCGGGCCTCCGCGCCCGAGGCCCTCCGCACCCCTGAGCAATGCCTGTCGTGCCGCCTGAGGAACACGAGCCTCCGCGACAGTTCAAGACTGGGCCGCCTTGTCGGGCGGCGTCCCGAAACCCACGGCGGACCCCGCCACGGTGACGGCCTCGGCGCAGGGCAAGTGCTGCGGCGGCGCTGCGCCCGCGTCTAAGGCCATCTCGCAGACGGCCAAGCGCGCAGCGTTGGCCTCCGCCTGCTCCGCCTCTGGGTCCACGATGACGCTCGTGGCTTCGTCAATCCTGCGCTGGGCCGCTCCGACGGTCAGCGGCTCAGAAACGAGGTCGTTCTTCATCGCGATGCTCATGCCCGCGCCGTCGAACTCATTCTCACCTGGGATGCTGCTGTCACCAACGCAGCCATCACACATTCAGTCACAAGCGTGCTTCCCCTCTCATCGCCTATGGTGGAGCCGCTAGCGCCTTTGTCCTCCATGAAGGCCTCCCTCCATTTGCCAAAGAACTCCACGTCCAGATGCGTCTCGGAGTTCCTCAATTTGCTGAGGCGCCCAACCGCGATGCGCGCGCCCCTCCTCCACGCTGGCAGAAGACGCGCTTCGCCGCCGTCGAAGTTCAACGCCGGCTTCGCGACGCCGAGAACACGCTCCAGGAACATGAAGTGCGCGACCCCGTCAGCCTGCTGCACGTCGGCTCCTTGCCGATGACCTCCAACTGCAGATGCTGCACCACTGGCGGCAGCAGCCACTTCGGAGTACCGTATAGAACCTTGCCCTCGAATCCAGACTGCAAGACGGCCGAAACAGCGCCGAAACCGTCGCCGCCGCTGCCGTCGGGCACGACGCGAAGACCGCCTGTTTTGCGGACCAGGCCGGGTCCGAGATCTGATGTCCTTCCACAAGGAGGCAAGCTGCCGCCGACTCCTGCCCAATGGCTTGAGCCAGACTGGCTACGAACGCGGGGAACAATTGGAGGAACACGGACAAGAACTGGAGGAGGTGGAGGAGGAGGAACGGGAGGGGGATGAGCAAGAACGGGAGAGGGAAGGCAGGAGTAGGAGGAGCAAAAGCAGCAGGAGGAACAGCAGGCGGAAAAACAACAAGAGCATGGCCATTGACTTTACCCTGAGAAACGCCCACACCGATTTGCCCCGGGTCCGCGAAACGGCCAGCCGAAACGGAACTGCGGCGGCGGAGGAGAAGGCCAAACCGCGGGGCTCAACAGTTCCCCGTGCGTGCTTGAGCTGGGGGTCCGCCTTGTCGACAGCGCGCAAACGACGACCGTCCGCATGCTGGCCGTCGTGGCGGGCGGCGACTCGCGAGCCTCCGCGCTGGCGGCTGGCCTCTGGCAACATATCAACACCGCCGCGCACACTTTGTGTTTGGCGCGCTGCGAATGCGCATGTCCGCCAGGACTCGGCCCCCCTGGCAAGATGCACGTGAGGCCCATGGGCAGAAACGGCCAGCCGGAGGGAGGAGAGCACGGATGAGGAGGAGGCGCAGCAGCAGGACAGCACCGTGAGTAGAAGACAGCAACGACCAGCGATTCCTACAGCATTGGACACACTTCGGAACAACCATCAGCAAAACCATCAACATATGGTAAATCCGACTACGCAACATACGGATCAGGGAGTCACACCATCGCCACGAAATTACTACAGCACTGGCAGCATCTTTTATACCCAAACCTACGTCCCCTACAGCAAAGAACAAAGCGCCGAAGGTTTCCTGCACGCCGTGCAGAAAGTGGAGACTACTGGGGATAGAACATCAATTTCCACGAAACCATAACTTCTTGCTCTTTTGATGCGCGCCTCCACTGTAAAGGAATAGACACCCGCAAGCCAGCGGCAGCACCGGCCGCGCAGTTTGTGGGAAGGCGAAGGCGCCTGCGTGGCAGCGCGGGGCGCCGCGACTCTTATACGGACCGAGGGACTGGCCGACAAAGAAAAGCGGGGAAGGCAAGGGGCAAAAACGGGCAAGAGAGCGAGGAGCCGAGGAGCGAGAAACGCAAGGGGAGAGGGAGGCAGGACGACAAAAAAATGACATACCGGGCCGACAGACGGAGGGGCGGGGGGACGGGGAGGGGGGGCCAAATGGAAGGGAAGTTTGAAGGGGCCGGGAGGCCCAGCCAGCAGCTTCGCCTTAGGCGAAGCCAAGCTCCCGCTCGGTTGCACCGTAGTAACGAGAGTCCCAGTAGGAGAGGATGTGCCATCTCAAGCAGTAGGAATATCCTTTTGGTCTCGATAGCGATTGTGTGCCTCGCAATGAGGCGCAGTCATATTTGGGCGGCCGACCGCGTGAGCCGACGCGGCCGCGGGCGCGCGCTCGCTTCCACCCCTTTCGCCCCGCAGCTCGCTTTAGAATCGGGGGGGGGGGAGGGGGGCGAAACGTGAGCCCGTCGCCCCTATGCAGCAGGCGCAGCATCTAGTGTACACAAGGACAGAAGAAAGAGAGCGGGCCATAAGGAAGGTAGACCCGCTCGCAAGTTGCCTCGCTTGTACAGTTCTGTACTTGACGCACTCATCAGGCGGCGTCAGAACTTAATGTCTGGCCGGCCCGATATGGAATATGCCTCTTTAGGTCATGCTTGAAGGCCTGTATACCTCCCATGACTTGTAAGAGCATTTCTCTGTCGATGCTCCCCTTGGTGTGACCATTCGCGGTCATATCGCGGGTGTCGCACCACTGGGTGCTGTGCGTGATCCCACGTTCCATCATCTGTCGAATCCAACTAATGCGTCCTAAATGGGTGTGCTCAATCGGCTTCTTCAAGTCTTTGCTTGACAAGGACTTAAAGCATATTCATCATCTATGGCCAAGGTGACCTTGATGCTCAGGCCACCCAACTCAAGTTTATCTTTCAACTGAGCGGGCGTAAGCGGCTCCTCCAAATTGCGGGCCGCTGCGAGTGTCTCTGCTGAATGACTCGAGCGGGCCTGCAAGCGGTGAGACTTGCAGTGCGCATCGACCAAGTGAACGACAGGCTCACCAGATGGCGTGTTTCCACGTCGTAGCAGGTTTGCCCCGCGAATACCAGAACCGTGGACGTCGTCATCGGCGTCTCCACTCAGGCGTCGGTATCCTGAGTCGCTATGTAGGTCGACCTCGCCCGTAGGATTCATCGCCTGGTAGACGATCTTTCTTGCGCAGGCCTGTAGTTTCCTGGTGATCGCGTTCAGTCGTCGCACTTGGATGCCGGTCGGTTCTTGAGCGCGTTGCAGAGACACAACATGCACCATCTACCACACCTGAGTGGTTAATAAATACGCCAGCGCGCCTCTGAGGCTGACGAACATGTCTGCAACCATCTCGGTTGCCAGAGCGCCAGCGTCGGCGCTGGTCAATTCGGGATGTTGTATAGGACGGAGCTGTTTGATATATTCATCTTGGTCCAACGTGAAATTGCCGTCCTCATCCTTGGTGTTTATCACAGCACAGTTGGTGTATGTGTGCTTGTTGAGTTTACACTTACCAAAAGTACCTTCAGCGCATTTGACATACTCGTCAATGGTGTCCTCAGTACCGGCCATATTAATGTCATCAACATGCTTGGCCGTGAGCAAGTCGTTGCTCGTCTCGGACTCCTCGTCGTAGGACGTGGGTCGGAGACCGAAGCCTCTGGTGATCCTCCTGAGCTTAAGTGAGAAAGCCCGTGGTGCGTCTTTGGTGCCTGTGCCTGGTTTCAAAACTGCAGGCGGTGCTTTGACTCGTCATAGTGCTCGAATCCTGGGAGAGCCCGGAGCACCGTGGCCGATCCAGGCGGCAAAAAGTAAAACACGTCACACGTTCTTTTTTCACACGTAGCCTCAGCAAGTTCCTGATAGGTCAGTCCCTTCAGGAAGGCCATGTTGATGTCGAAGGAAGAAATGATCCATTGCTTCTTGCACGCTGCCGTGCTAGCGAATAGCCTCTGGCTTGACCGTCGCGCTGCCCCCGAAAATATTTCTACGAAGGCTTCAAGATCCATGAAACCTTGGAGAGCCAAGCGTAGTCTGATGGTACGTTCCATCTCGCCCGTCTCGATCTTCACGAACATCAATGTGTGCACGTATCTCGAAGTCATGATGTTCGACGCTTAAGCTATAGCTTGCATCTTAAAGCACTTGTTATCGAACCATGTCTTGAGTTCAGTGTTGAGGGCCTTCGATACTTTATCGGCATTTGCCTGGATGTCAGCTTTGGCGAGGAGGTCGTCTTCCTTGACGACCACAGCTCGCTTTGCAGCGGCGGTTACGTATACCCGCATAGTGGTCACCCGGTTGGCATCTAGTATCATATGTTGTTGTTCGGACAGGACTACCTTTGACATTTCTGTCGCAAAGCAAAGTTCGACATATCGACCAGTTTCATCTGAGTCCAGTCCGTAGTTGTCGTCTTCGACCATGGTGCACATTGGGACGTAGTACGTCTCCTCGGTATCGGAGTCATGAGTGCGCCCCCACTTCGGCAGGTGTCCCCGCTGTTCATCAGCTACAGTGATCATCGCACTCTGATCTGGAACCATCTGTGTAGGTATGGCGAAGAGGTCCTCTGGTGGAGTTGCCTCCAACGGTTCCCTTTCCTCCTGTAGTTCTGCATCCCGCACTTCCATAACATGCGACTCAAGATCAGCCTCTGGTTCTTCGTAATTCGTAGAAAGCCGCCCATCATCATGTGGTGGTTCGGCTTATGAGGCTTCTCTTGTGGTTCCCTCCGGTGTCGGAGTATCTGCCAATTCCTCACATCTTGACATGTCCTGACCAAAACCTGCTTGAAAACAAACCTGCTTGAGGTTTAGTGGACTTCAGGCTTTTGATAATTCTCGAATGTGCTGATCCAATTATATCGTGCATGTTCAGAGCAGTACCTTCTGCTTCATAATAATGGAATCCTGGATTCACGTCGTTGTCGTAGTGGACCATTGTGCAGCTGTCGGCATAAGTAAGCGGAGGCAAGTAATGACTAGTCTTAGTTATCCTGACTGCAACTACATTCTCAATGCGACAGAAATTTCTGATAAGGTAATGAAAAGCTAAGAGAACCTTGGGAGATAGACGGCAGCAATCGTCATCTGAAGCGTCCCTTTCTTGGTCGGCCCATAGCCAAAGGTCAAAGCAGGTCTCCCCGCTGATAGGCTGGCTACGAATGTTAACACTGTCCGTAATGCAGTGTTGTCGGAGTTAATCTCTCGGGCTATCAGTGCTTCAATGTATAATGAATGCCCTGCATCGCCGTATCGTACTTGAACATCTCGATTGCCCACTCAGATGATGACCTGACCCCTTTCTGGGACCATTCTTTACAACTGGGAACGGGCCATTCCAGCCTCCCCGGTCATCCTTCGTGGTCGTGGGGCGATGCTAATCGACCAAGTCTCCTTCATCGTAATAGTGCTGACCAGTAATTAGCGATTTAGTGCATGAGGCACGACTGGTCTTAGCTACTGCTGTGGCCTATGTGATCGCTTCAATACATACCTTGCGTATCGTCTGTTGACGAGAGTGGTCTGACGTTTCCGTCGGCTGCTCGTGGTCCAAGACAGGTAGGTCTGGGTGCATTGCTGGTTGCCTTCCAAACAGAGCGTTATATGGTGACACCTCGTTATAGAAGGTGAACGCGTGGGCGGCAAACAGGGTCTCGTTCAGTAGTCGGGTGAACACAAGAGGTATATATATATATATAGCCTATTGAGTTCAGCTTCCATGACGTGAAGTAGATGGCGTAGGATGCCATTTCTGGCCTCGATCGTTGTAGCGTGCTGTCCACGCGCACGCATCCTAAACTCAATGCCTTTTGCCTTAGGACTGGTTTCGCAGTGTCGTTATTAAGGGCACCTCTCCATCAGAGTAGAGTACCTCTGCAGGTCCAAACTGCATCCAGCACTGATGATATGCATCCCGGATACTGGTCATAGTCTTGTCTGGTATCTCAATCACAGTAGCATATCGTATACAGCGATCGATGATGAGGAAGGTATTGTGTTCTTGTTTGTAGAACATCAGATCGCATTCCACTTCCTCATGAAATTTACCACGTATTGCAGTAGAGGGCATCACAGTGTGCCCAGGTTTGTCCCAAGCTCTGCGCTCTCGACATGTGTCGCAGACACCTTTAATCAGGTTGAGTCTGACACTGTCCAGACCTATCTTGCTTAATGTGAGTCTCATCTCGGGCTCTTTCGCATGGAACCAACGCAAGTGTAGCTTCCACAATTCGCGCGTTACCACGCTGGGGTCAAGGCTTCGTAAATTTTGCAGGCTGGTTTGTACATCGAGCCGTGACCAGTCTGGTAGTCGTGGTCGCGCAGCAGGGTTCCCTGCTAGTGGTGGAGGAGGTGCTTCTCCACCCTGTTGGCGACCACGTCTGACTCTAACCTGTGGAAGCCGGAGATGGCCATCCGAACTACCAGCTCCACTCGAGGCAGGTTGCCCTGCAGCAGGTTCAGCAGCATGTCTTCCTACAGTAATGTCGTGACTGCTTGCGCCCGCTGTAAGTCCAGCTCTGGAGCCGGGTCTCGGTGCTCTCAGCCGCGCAAGTGGTGGTGCGGCTGGCGCCTCGGGTGGTGGCGCTGCTAACTCAGCAGGAGCTGGCGGTGCAGGTCCTGCTGCCGGTTCGGCAGGAAACGGTGGTATCTGTCCATGATTGTCGGGCAGCTTCCAAGGCTGGGTAAACTTGAACTTGCCAGGTGTCAGTACGTGCCCAGGCTTGTTCTTCCCGTAGTTCTTCTTGCAGCTCGGACATTCCCA